GCAGGACGGAGGAATGTATAGATAATGGTGGAATAATAAAAGCTGACAACCAAGAGATGGGAAGAGCATGTGGAGAAGGCCTTCTTCTTTCCTTCTGTGGAATGGATTCTGAAAATGCTCCTCAGTATAAACCAATAAGATAAGAAGGTCAGGGTACAGCTGCCTATGGCAATGACAATGGAAGCTGCAAAAACCATTATTTCATTCAGGCTTGTGTCTGAACAGGAGATCTTGAACATTGGTGGTAGATAACAGAAGAAGTGATTGATGATGTTGGAATCACAGAAGGAAAGCTGTAGTACAAGTCCTGTCTGAATTGAGGAATTTATTATACCTATCAGCCATAGCCCAGCCATTGTCCCAAAGCAAACCTCCTTCTTCATGATTACTGTATACTGCAGTGGTTGGCAAATAGCAGCATAGCGATCAAAAGCCATAAATGCAAGAAGCAGGAGCTCTGTTCCTAAAGTCAAAGTAAAGAGAAATACCTGTGTAATGCAGCCAGGAAATGCAATAGTTTTTCTCTGGGTTAGAAGAATTTGCAGTAATTTGGGAACTATTATAGAAATTGAACATACATTTATAATAGACAAATTGATTAACAAAAAGTACATGGGTGTGTGAAGTTTCCTGCAGGTACTGATGGCAAGGATAATCAGAAAGTTTACTACCAGAGCCACTGCATAGATGAGGAAGAAAGTCCAAAAGATGAGCATTTGATTTTCAAAGGAACTTGAAAAACCTATCAAGATGAATTTTGTAACAGTGGAAGAGTTCTTCATGTTCAAGTTTGTGATGCAAGAGAATAAAACAGCACATCACTTTGTGCAGAAATCCTCTTTCTTGGCATGTAGACTTGTTTTCATTCTATTAATAAACATCCCTATTATATATATTCAAAATATATGAGGATAATGAAGAAATCCATACAGAGACAGAAGCTTTCCAAGTCTTACAAAATAGTTGAAAATCTTTTTTGTTTGAAAACCAGGCTGCCAAATGCTCCTTATCAGTCAAGGTGGTTAAATTGCTGGGGAGGGGAGAACGATGTAGTAAACAAGTACTAGTGTTGATATCCTATCTACACTTGGTTAGCCTTAAATAGGTCTTTAGAGGGCTTGTAGATGTCCAAATTAGAGCATTACTGACACATAAACATTTAAAACATTTAAAAACTGTAATGCTCAATGGTGGGGGAAGGGCTATTCAACCAGCTTTCATATAAGCTGCAACAAGTTTATTTTTATTGTCTCTGAATATGTAATCCCCAGGTCAGACTACTTTTATACTGTCCTACAGTTCCATAGTGATGTTCTTTGGAGATTGGCTGTTTTAATTAGAGAAAATAACTTTTAGAAGCCTGTAGGATTTTCAGTATTGTATACACTTGTATATCTATAGAGACTTATTTTGGTCTTTAAAGTTTCTCCAAGACTGATTATGATGGTTATAACTTTATCAATATTTATTGATAAATATAAATAAAATAATAATAATAATAATAATAATAATAATAATAATAATAATAATAATAATTTGTATTGATTGATTGATTAAAGTTATATGCTGCCTTTTCTCACTATCTGAGATGATTCTGGGTAGCTCACAATAGTATTAAAACAAAGCTATTAAAATATTAAATTAAGAATTACAACAATTAAATAAATAAAGTTTAAAAAGAAGAGCAATGACAGGGCTCTTCAAAAGGGCTCCACAAATTCCATAGGGGTGAAACAGTGCCTCGGATAACCTGATCCCATGTCACAAAGGGCATTGGGTATTTTGAATTGGATATTCAATTGGATATTTTGAATTGGATCCAGAAGGAACTGGAAACCGTGTGCAGCTCATGTAACAGCAGTGGTACATGTGTCATCCTAGGGGCCTACAAAACTGTCCACACTCCTCCATTCTGTCCCAGCTGTAGCTTACAAATATTCTTCAAGGATAGCCTTGAAGGTCTTTGTTGACTCTGAAGGTCAACAAAGACTTTTAAATGACAACTCTTATTCTCCTCCCCTGCTCTGTGGTCTCGGTTGGTGGCATTCCTGAGATTCCACTGGGCACATTTCAGAAAGGGGACTTCATCCTCTCCAGACCAAATCAGATTTGTAATTCTGTAGATCTTGTATTCTGTAATTCAAGCCAGATTGGTATACTCCATCCTAATAACTTCATAATTATATTATTGACCAATCTGGCATTGACAGCAGCAGCTGAAAGACAGAGCCTCTATGATTTTTGATAATCTCTACCCACCCATCAGATTATATAGGGTGGGTGAATTTGCGTTTACTGGACTTGCTTTACAAATAATTCTGCAAAAACAAGGAACCATTATGCCATTATTGTTTTTGTATTCAGGGCCATCATGGGAGATGTCAATAATTTCATCAGGAGAGATAGTCAATGCCAGAAAATTGCTGATGATGCTGCGAACCCTAGTGATGTCATCTATTTCATTGTTGTACTCAAGTCCAAATAAGATGATGTTTGGATGCTTCTGTTCATGTTCAAGTTTCCTGACTTCTGGTGGGTCCAGAAGGCCCAAAAATCAGCTGGCCAGCATGCACATGCACGCCAGAGCTAAGCTTGTATGCCCACTGATATGGCTCCATGTGCCATCTGTGGCACGTGTGCCATAGGTTCGCGATCATGGGTTCAGTCTCTTCAACTGGACCTCTTTCTGTGAAAACATGATTGAACTCCAGACTCCAGTTCATTAAAAAAAAAAAAAAAATCAGGCAAAGCAAATAACAAGACCTAGCAATTACTAAGAGCAGGAATGATTAAGAAAGAGAAAGAGGGGCTGATTGTGACTGCACCAGATAAAGCATTAAGAGTAAATACATAAAAACCCAAAGTTGAGAAGATAGCAATAGATACCCAATATTGCCTGTACAGATGAAAAAACAGTAGATAGCTGCAAGAATATCACACAAACTTATTATGGACCAGGTAATAACAATAATGCATTGAAATATCTGCAAGAAATACAACTTTCCTGCAGGTAAGAACTGGTAGGACTACAAAATAGGCAAAGTAATTAAAAAATAAAAAAGTTAAAGTGCTCTGAGACTTAGAATTCAAACAGGTCATCATCTGCCATATAACATCAAATTTAACAATTTTGATAATAAAGCTAAAAAAAATGAAGTCTGGATAATGGACATTGCAGTACCTGGGAAACAGCAGAAGAGGAAAGAAGAAGCAAAAGGGGAGAAAATTGCAACATAAAAATATAGAAATAAAATGACTGTGGCAAAAGAAAGCACAAATAGCACCAATAATAATAGATACCATGGACACAATCCTAAAACTATTGGAGCAGTACTTGAAATCTATCAGCACTGACAAAACCACCATTTGCAGGTGTGTTACTCCGAACAGCTTAAAGACATGTGACAATGTCTTTAATATATCAAATACAGTATTTGCCTATCACAGGTACTTGTGAAGGATAGTTGACAAAAATGCAAAATTCAGTCTAAACATTCTGGTAATGAACTATAATAAAAAAGTGTAGTGTAGAAAATGAATGAATATTAGGGTAAATTGCATCCCAAAATAAAATTTAAATACATTATATTACAATATTTAATATAAGATCAATAACAATTTAACTTCAGAATCCTGATTATAAAAATGCAGTTGTTTTTAAATTAAATTAATAATTTTGGAGGGATGGTGGTAGAAGGAAAATAGAAGGAATAAAATATATGAGAAAGGATGATGAATTCAGAAATAAACTATATGTAACATTTTAAAGGAAATCCTTATCAATAGTGATACAATAAATATTCAATATTCTACTGATTTTCAAAATACAATCATCCCTCCCAGTTCTGTAAACTATAAATAAACTTAATTACTTCAAAAGTTTTGTAAGTGTTACAAAGAAGGGCAACAAAAATATATTAAGAATTGTAACAGCAATTACAAAAGTCATGCAAATGTCCAATCCTGTCCATTCACTTTGGTGTCACTTCAGGATAATCTTAAACACTTCAGTCCAAAGTACAAAAGAATTTTAAAATGAAATATGATCTGCTATGAGAAGAAAACTGATTGCTCTTTTAGACAAAGAAGGCTTTCCACAGAGAGTTTTACAACATGAAAGTATATTTAATTTACTGTATGTAGCAAAATATTGGATGTCATATAATAATTAAAAACAGCAGAAACAACATGATGTAAAATAGAAACAACAGTTGAGGAGCCAAATCAACCAAACTTGTGAATGTATGATGATTTTTCCACAAATCAAGTACTTTTAATTTCAGGGATCCTTGGTATTCTCTGAGCTTGGTTGTTTTCTTCCAGATGTTTCATTACCCAATTTAGATAACATCATCACACTGGCATTGATTATATTACTTAGCTAATGTTAGCTAGTGCTATCACTAATGATGTTACCTAGTTTGGATAACCATGCTCGGAGAGCACCAAGAATTCCCCATTTCAACCCTGACCTACAAATATTCTCCTTTATTTATGCTTTTAATTCCTCTCCTATATAAAACCCTTTTTTAAAAAAAATACTAATTCCCAAATCAGAAATCTTCAAGATGTACTCTGAATGTAGCTTCAGGTATTTCTAAAATGTTTTAAAGGAATGCTTAATCAAATAATTCTTATCTAAGATACATTTTCATGTAATATATTATGATACAGTACATAACATGAGGTTTTGATTGTATTTCTGGGTTGCCTGGAAGAAAAAGCTTAAGAAGTACTTTTGAAAATAAAAAATAATATAATGTATCAATCACGATACATACATACATACATACATACATACATACATACATACATACACGATACAATCACAATATAATAATCACGAAAACAAAATGTTTGAAATCCAATTTTGTTACAATATATGATAAGTATGTTTGTATTTTCATACCAACATAAAGACTCTTAAATATAATATGCAATATATGAAGAAACATTGTTTAATGCTCACCAGAATTGTAGGAATATTTTACTGATGATATTTAAGATCTTGGAAGAACCCTGAGACTACCAGTGAACATTTTCATTGCTTCTTTAACATCTTTGTTTCTCAAAGAATATATGAGTGGATTGATAACTGGAGTTACTACTGAATAAATAAGTGACACAAGCTTGTCCTTATCTAAGAAATAGACAGAAGATGGTCTCATGTAGGTATAGATGATTGCAGAAAAATAAAAACTGATTACAAAGAGATGTGAGGAACATGTAGAGAATGCTTTCTTCTTCCCTTCAGTAGAACGGATTCTGAAGATAGTCCTCAGTATAAAAAAATAGGAAGTTAGAGTCAACCCACAGGTACACATGCCATAAAACACATCTGCAACCTTTGTCATAAATTCATTTATGCTAGTGTCTGAACATGAAAGATGTAATACTGTAGGGATATCACAATAGAAATGATTTATAACATTGGAATCACAAAAAGAAAGTTGCAGGAGAACTCCAGTATTTATAGCAGTATTTATCATTCCAGTAATCCATACAAAGATTGCAATGCCAACACATACTTCTTTCCTCATGATAACGGTGTAATGCAAAGGATGACAAATGGCAGCATAGCGATCAAAAGCCATAAATGAGAGAAGGACCAATTCTGACCCCAATGCCCATATAATGAAAAATATTTGTGTGATGCAGCCAGGAAATGAAATTATTTTTCTATAGGTCCAGAGACTTTGGAGTAACCTAGGAATTGTGACTGAGACAGATAATATATTCAGTAAGGACAAATTGAATATGAGGAAGTACATGGGTGTGTGGAGTTTCTTGAAAGTAGATATGAAAAAGATAAGGAGGAGGTTAGCTGTTAGAGCTGCAGCATAGATGAAGGCAAACACCCAGAAGAGAAGTACCTGCAGTTTAGGGGAATCAGTAAGACCCAGTAAAATAATCTCTGTGATAGCAGAATGGTTTTTTATTTCAGCAATTCTGATTCCAGTAACCTAGAAAGATATATAATATTATTTTTTTTTTACTGATATAAACATCTCACACTTTTAATATTAAATGTAATTAATGTGTGATGAAAGACCCAATTTGGTGTTGTTTAGCAATGCACTGGGCTGAAAATTGAGGGCCCTTAAATTCTAGTCTTGCTTTAGGCACAAAGCTAGTTCACTATTTATGTGACAGCAGAAAACTTTAGAATCTTTTCATCTAAATTTTCTGTGAGTGCCATACCTGAAAATTGTGCCATTCTGTCTCTCCCCAGAACTTGGGACAGGGGGAATACTTCTTGCTTCCTGTTTAGTGGTTAAATGTGATAAATCAAACTTAGAAAATTTCAGAATTATTCTTTTTTTAATAGAATGTATCTAACTGTATACTATATTTCTATTAGAAAATATGACAATTTGTGAGAGAATATAATGCAATGTGGATCATTAATTCAAGAATTCCCAAAGTATTAAAATCAGAGCATTTTAGTATAAACTGTAGGTAAAGATCTGGGAGAAAATGAGATTAATAAGAGCATCAATGTGAAATTCGGTCAAGATGACATCTAATGCTGAATATATTTACCTTCATTCTTATTTCTTCTTTGTTCTTACTGGACTTTGTTTTTCTGTTGGATGGAACAAAAAGTTAAGATTTGGCATCTATCAGCTGCAAAACATTGTAACCAATTACTTTTCATCAGTCTACTGGAAGAGGTTCAGTCTATGGTAGGCATGTTCTGGTTTAAAATTTTTCTTCTTATCAAGCAATGTTACACCTGGGAAGAGCACTTTGGGACTTAAAGAGAATCCATAATTCTTCCAGATATGAAGCAATATTTGTCTAAAACCAGAAGAAAGAAAAATAATGTTTCCGGATCCTCTGTTCCCTTGGGCTTGCCCCCTGTGCCCTGCATCTTTCTCTCTTCCATTGCTCTCACTATCTAGAGTGATATAACCCCTCTGACTAACAGATTGGCACACCTCCCTACTGAAGCTTGGTTTCTCCTTTGCCCATCCCCACTACATGGTTTCCATGATATTTGACAGGTAGATCCTCTGCATTAATTCCCCTCTCCTTTTTTGTGTAATAAATCTAGGTAGAATACAACTCATTTTGCTCTGGAAAGTGAATAGACAGCACTTCTTTCTTCGGGAGATGCAACAGGGATCTTTCTCCAACCACACACCTCCATTACCTCTAGTTAAAAATAATAAACTTAACAAGGCTAAAAGATAACAAAGCAAAGGAAATGCCCTCAAGATACTAACCAGCCACAGCATTGCATAACACTTTAGATACCCATGCTACCTGACAGAACAAGATCTTAATAGTCCAGAAAGTCATAGACTTTCCTCACTTCTGGGAACAAGATGTTCCAAAAAGCAGGGGCAAAAGTAAAAAAGATCTTCTAAACCTACCAGTCAAAATTCATTTATGAAAATGATCCACATCATGCCATTCCTTCTTCACCATGTGAGATGGGTAATTGTGATGATGCAGTTCAGGAAACCTGAACACATTCAATTGGATCTGGAAACAATCTACAGAAATGTTACATGCAGAACCCTAGGGTCCCAGGACTGCTCATGCTGCTGTATTAGTTCTAATTCTACAGAGGAATTATTAAGTCTGTCATCTGCACTTCTATAACTGTCTGTTTTGGTTCTGCAACCCAACAAGACAGACACAGACTTCAGAGGATAATTAGAACTGCAGAAAAAACAATTACTACCAACCTGCCTTCCATTGAGGACCTGTATACTGCATGAGTCAAAAAGAGGGCTGTGAAAATATTTAAAGACCCCTCATATTCTGGACATAAACTGTTTCAACTCCTACCCTCAAAATGACGCTATAGAGCACTATAGAGCACCGCACACCAGAACAACTAGACACAAGAACAGTTTTTTCCCATCACACCATCACTTTGCTAAACAAATAGTTCCCTCAACACTGTCAAACTATTCACTAAGTCTGCATTACTATTACTATTAATCTTCTCATCATTCCTATCACCCATCTCCTCCCACTTATGACTGTATGACTGTAACTTTGTTGCTTCTATCCTTACGATTTATATTGATATTGATTATTTCCTGATTGCTTATTTGTACCCTATGACTATCGTTAATTGTACTTTATGGTTCTTGATGAATGTATTTTTTTATGTACACTTAGAGCATATGCACCAAGACAAATTCCTTGTGTGTCCAATCACACTTGGCCAATAAAAAATTCTCTTCTCTTCTCTTCTCTTCTCTTCTCTTCTCTTCTCTTCTCTTCTCTTCTCTTCTCTATTCTATTCTATTCTATTCTATTCTATTCTATTCTATTCTATTCTATTCTATTCTATTCTAGTTGCAGCTTCATCACATCCTTCAATTGTAGCCCTATGTAAAGCCCATTGCAGTAAATTCAAATTCCTCTGTTTTGAGTCAGGCCATGTGTGTCCTAAAACAGGCTCATAGCTATGGCTATGATCTTATGAGGTGCTTCCAAAGCCAGCACTAGGGATGACAAATTGAAGTCCCCTAGGACATATGCTTGGGGAACTCCCCAGACAACTTTAAGAGAATCTCCAGCAGTTTGGGGAGATAGATGCTACAGTATGTAGCAGGGAGATTGGTGCACTAGCAATAACCCCAAGTGCTCCCACAAGCCCTTCTTCAGAGTCAAAGAATCACAATTAACATCTTATGAAACAGGACTTTTGAATGACAACTGCTCTTCTCCTCACCTGTCCTGTGGTCTCAGTTAATGCTATAACTGAGATCCTACAAGGTACATTACAAAAAGGGGACTTCAACTTCTTCAGGCCCAGTCAGATTTCTGTAATTCATGTCAGGTTGGCTGTTCCACCCTGATAAGGTCATAAATATGGACATTTTTATTATTGACCAATCTGGCATTAAGCAGCAGCAGCCAAAAACTGGGATCTCCGTACTCTGATTGTTTCTGCCCATCCCAACATATCAGGGAGGGAAGAAATATTTTAGGTCCTTTTTGTGAATCTGTCATCATATGGGATCTTGGAGATGCATCTTGTCTGTTTTGGCCCTTGCTGTATAGAACAGCTTTTCCCTAAGGTTTGGACATACCATTTCTTGTTGCCCTTTTGAAATGCTGATATAATTTGGCTTGTGTCTTTGCCATGTTCTGAAAAACTGAATATTTGAAAAGAAGAAAAATGATGGGCAAATTTGCATACCACATAAATGGATTAAAATGGATACATAACCTACTTTGTACCCAAAGCATCTCTTCCAAAATGTTACATTTTAATTATGGTTTGTATAATGTCTCTTGTAATATATATGTACTCTGTATGTACACATATACATACATACACACACACCGTATATATATATCTATTAAGTTTTATAGTTTTTTACTGTACAAGAGACTTCCAGGCATAAAATGTAGCTCCTAATGATATATTTTTCTCTGTACACCAGAATTATAGAAGCATTTTATTGATGAAACTTAAGATCTTGGAAACATTCTGAAATTTCCAGTGAGTACCTTCATTGCTTCTTTAAAATCCTTGTTACTCAAAGAGTATATGAGTGGATTGACAACCAGAATTACCACTGAATAAATGAGCAACACAAGCTTGTCCTTATCTAGAGAATATACTGAAGAAGGTCTTATGTATGAGTAGATGATTGCAGAAAAGTAAAAAATTGATTACAAAGAGATGTGAGGAGTATGTGGAGAAAGCTTTCTTCTTCCCTTCAATAGAATGGATCCTGAAAATAGTACTCAACATTAAAAAAAAAAAAAAGGAAGTGAAAGACAACCCACAACTATCCATGCCATGCACCATACCTGCAACCATTGTTATAAAATGATTTCTACTTGTGTCTGAACATGCAAGATCTAATACTGGAGGGATATCACAGAAGAAATGATAGATAACATTGGAATCACAAAAAGAAAGGTGCAACATAAGTCCATTTCATTTCATTTTTCATTTTATTAAATTTGTATACCGCCCTACTCCCGAAGGACTCAGGGCGGTGAACAGCCATGAAATAAAACATATAAATACAAAATTTAAAATAGAAATAAAACAAGTTAAATAAATTTGGCTGAACCATATTTAAAACCCCAATAATTTAAAACCAAATTTAAAATTCCCATTTAAAAGAGGAGAAGTTTAGGTCAGGCCGGCTTGCTGGAATAGGAACGTCTTAAGCGTGCGACGGAAGGTACGCAGATCCAGAATCCTCCGTATCTCGGGGGGAGCTCGTTCCAGATAGTAGGTGCCCCCACAGAGAAGGCTCTCCCCCTGGGGGCCACCAGTCGACATTGTTTGGCCGAAGGCACCCGGAGGAGCCCCTCTCTATGGGAGCGTACTGGTCGGTGGGAGGCTATTGGTGGTAGCAGGCGGTCCCGTAGATAACCAGTCCAGTATGTACAGCAGTATTTATTATTCCAGTAATCCATACAATGGCTGCTATGCCAACACAAACTTCTTTCCTCATGATAATATGTAATGCAAAGGGTGGCAGACAGCAGCATAGCAGTCAAAGCCATAAATGAGAGAAGGACCAATGCTGACCACAAGGCCCATATAATGAAATCCTCTGAAAACAAATGGTCCTCTTGATGCCAACTCCTTGTGTTTTATTTCCAGAGAAACTTGTCGATTCTCCAGACTTTCTCATTTGCTATTATTATGAATGGTGCAGCTTACTACATAATTTATCAGAAATCTGTTTACATGATTTCCTTCTACTTTTAATCTTTGTGACAATATTTTGTAAAAATAAAAACAATATGATATAAAAATGTAGACAATTGACTTTAGAAGCCAAAGCAAAACAATTTTAAGTTCATGAACATTTTATCCGAACAAACATGAAAATGACTTGCAGGCTTTATGCAAAGCTGAACAGAAGGAAATAGAAAAGAGGCATCCTAGGTGGCTATAACATGGCTTTCTCTAGTTCAAATTGTGTTTTTTTTAATTTCTCTTCCAATTCTAATTTATTCACATGCATTTGTTGTCTCTGTCAGATTCCAAATATGAGCTCCTCAAGATGTATTCTGAATATAATTTCCAGTTTATCTACCTGGTGTTTATGTGTTTTCTATTGCATAACATACAGTATTCCCGAGAACAAAAGATAACATATTAGGAAAGTTTGCACATTAGAACTCTAGGAAAATGTTGTAACTGAATCTTAAGGCCTAGGAAACAATTTGAGATTTACAGTAAGCATTTTCAGTGCATCTTTAACATCTTTATTCCTCAAAGAATAGATGAGTGGATTAACAACTGGAGTTACCACTGTATAAAGAAGAGCAATATATCTGTCCTTGTCTAGAGAAGATGAAGGGGGTCTGATATATGTGTAGATGATTGCTGAAAAGTAAAAACTAATTACAAAGAGATGTGAGGAACATGTGGAAAAAGCTTTCTTCTTTCCTTCAGTTGAACGGATCCTGAAGATAGTCTTCAGAATAAAAAAATAGGATGTTAGAGTCAAGCCACAAGTAACAATTCCAAACAACAAATCTGAGATGATTGCACTAATATGAATGATAGTGGTGTCTGAACACGTAAGGTCTAATATTGGAGG